CAATAAACAACACGAACTCTTAGAATACCAACAAACAACACGAACTCTTAGAATACCAACAAACAACACGAACTCTTAGAATACCAACAAACAACACGAACTCTTAGAAAATCAACAAACAACCGTGTACTTTTACAAACAAAACAAAAAACAAAAAAACGTGTACTTATAAAAAAAAAAAACAACCTTGCAATCTTGTAAAGAAAACCAACAAACAACGTAGGCTCATTAATTTACCTATACACAACATGTAGTTATAAAGCAGATGACATTATTGTTATCCTTCCGACCGAAATGTAAAACATGACTTGAATCCTGAATATGATTCCAATAACTCTCAGTTTCAAACTTTGGTATAATGTGCGACTTATCGTGTATCGTCGATCGTACATTGAAAGGCTTTGTCGGCTTCCTCGCTTCCATCCATACACACGATGTTAATCTGACTCTCTGTTGTGTCCGCCATCATCACACCGCTAGTTGTTGTTTCACGAGTACGATAAATCTTATGTATTCACCGAGCTAAACCAACCTACTTTGTTATCAGTTATCTGTAATCTAGCCTACAGTACAGATTTTGACCTGAATTCCTGTGTAAACAAGTTATAATTCATTTACTGACAACATGTTTATTTTCTTAAACTGAAATATGCTGCACCGATTCGGAGACAGTTTGATAATCCTATCTTGATGAGTTGTAAGCTGTACCTGGAATTCTTTTAGTGTGTCAATACTTAAATTTGTACTATGATGTGAGTCTTTTTTCCTTCCACCTTCATATTTGCTGGGCTAACAGAAATGTAAATACCGGTGCAATACTCATTTGTTAGCTTTGATTTGATTTATTTCACATTAAATACCTTCTCCATCAAGAGCCAGTGTCAAAGTCAGAGATCTACTTTGTCTTTGACCTTTGGACTCAAATGACCTTGACCTTAGGTCAGTTGACTCCGTGTTAAGTTCTGAGCAACTTTGCTTCATAATAACATAAAAAAAAATGTTCATCAGTAAAAAGATACAATATTTGACGTTGACATTGACCCAGTGACCTTGACCTTGAGTCTTTTAGACTAAGACCACAATTAATTTTACTATATGTTTCAATGTAACATTTAACTTCATAAAAAATTCCCAATATCCGATAGCCAACTTTCCATCTAACCTGGTCAAGAGCAACATCTTGGGAGTAAAATTTCAAAATTTCAACATAGCATGTTGGCCTTTTTCTTGAGATAATCGTCTGCATGTGTCACCAATGTCAAAAATAAACTTCTGGGTCAGGGGTAGAGGTAAACACAGGTCTTTTCACACAGCACCCTGCAGAAAAAAATAATGCACAATATAAAAATTTGACAAAGTAATTGTTAGATTGATATCTCCACAGTATTTTAACACCAAACTTTTACACAAACACTCGAGTTCTAAGAGGCATAGTATAGTTTTTACTAAAGTACCTATGTTTCTAAGGGACTTCATTTGTGGGTACTGAACCCGGAAGCATTTAATTGTGACATCAGTCCTATTATGGTGACTCCTTGTTAAATTCCGACCAACCGTGCTTCATAATGTCATAGCAAAATGTTCATCAGTGAAAAGATACAAATTTGACTTTGACCTTTGACCCAGTGACCTTGACCTTCGGTCAAATGACTCCTTGTTTAATTCCGATCAACACTGCTTCAAAGTGTCACAACGAAATGCCACCAGTGAAAAGATACTAAATTTGACCTTGACCTTTGATCCAGTGACCTGTCGACTCTTTGTTAAATTCTGAGCAACATTGCTTCATTGTGTCATAACAAAATGTTCATCAGTGAAAAGCTACAAAATTTGACCTTGACCTTTGACCCAGTGGTCTTGACCTTTGGTCAGTTAGACTCTTTGTTTAATTCCGACCAACTTTGCTTCAAACGGCAGACGGACGGACAGACAGACGGACAGACATGTGACAGAAAGAGTGATTACTATAGGGCACCCGTATCTCTGATACGGGGCCCTTATTATTCCCGAATTACAGGTAGATCATTTTATCATCTATTCTTATCACCTTATATTGCACATGTAACCGACGTTATTCTTTGTGATATTTTAACTGTAGGTAGGATTACGTGGGACTTCAGAGGATTCAGTTTTTCTGGCGACAAATTCTTGAACTTTCTGAAAAAACAGTGCCGATTTTATTTTATTATTTTTTTTCCTACGGTTTGGTGATATTGAAGATGTATGTAGGATGCACCGGTACAACCATGATTAGTAATGATGTTTATGGTAAAGGGTAATAACACAAAGGTTAACTGTTGCCGTTTTCACTTTTTGGAAATGTTTGTTTACCTTTTTCGCAAAAGGAATATTCTAAATAAATCACATATTGCGATGCATTTTACAGAATTTTAGTTTTACGAAATTTGAATTTTGAAAATAGAAATAAAAATAGCTAAAAAGTTGAGAACGAAACACTCCAAAGCATTGGTGGAACTGAGGAAATCTTCACATGGAAGGTAACTCTTAGCAAAAAAATACATGTAGGAGGGGAAAAGATAAAAACCTCTCTGTGGAAATCTTCTTCGCGATTATAACTGACGCAATAGTACCCTTTGACTTAAATGTTGATGTGTATCCGAGTCAAAACATGTTTCGTTTCAATTTTTTTTTTTGGGGGGGGGGGAGAGTAAATAAAAGATTTGAAGCACTGGCCCAAATAATTTTGGGAAGAAATATTTCCACAGCATTTAACACAATGCTTCAGCACATTTAAATTACATATAACATACAATCAAAATCGTTACGGCATCAACAAGCTGTGTTCAAAAAGAACACGCCCACAGACCGAACGGTTGTTTCAGCGTGTCACTCACTGCATCTGGCTCGTCGATTGGTCGATAGAACGTTTGAGGTCGGTGTCGTCCTTGATTTCAGAAGCAGTGTACAACAATGTATCTTTTTCGGAGACTTGTTCTTTGTGCGCATTGTCAATTTGAGATCACGCATACACGTATATGGAAATGTAAAATTTACATTGCATGTACATGTTTCAAATCATGTGTCATGACTTAAGTGTTTCATTAAATGTAAACCTATCAACATTTTCGTGAACTGTAATGGTATTTATGATTACAAGAGAGCAAAAGGAAGAATATTACACATGCTTAAAAGCTGTCCATATACCGCCCGCTGCACTGAAAAGTAATACAGAACGTTGCATGTTGTTTATTCGATCAGTCTCAAAAGTTGCCCTGCACAGCTAAGGACCAAGGGTAACCTTCATATAAATTTGAGAAAGATCCCTCTGATACTTCTTGAGAAATAGAGATAACAAACTTTCACTATCAAAATCCAAGATGGCTGCCTGTCGGCCATGTTGTTTATCCGATCAGTCTCAAAAGTTGCCCTGCACAGCTGAGGACCAAGGGGAACCTACATATAAAATTTGAAAAAGATCCCTCTGATACTTCCCGAGAAATAGCGATAACAAACTTTCAATATCAAAATCCAAGATGGCTGCCTGTTGGCCATGTTGTTTATCCGATCAGTCTCAAAAGTTGCCCTACACAGCTAAGGACCAAGGGGAACCTACATATAAAATTTGAGAAAGATCCCTCTGATACTTCCCGAGAAATAGCGATAACAAACTTTCACTATCAAAATCCAAGATGGCTGCCTGTCGGCCATGTTGTTTATCCGATCAGTCTCAAAAGTTGCCCTGCACAGCTAAGGACCAGGGGAAACCGGCATATCAAATTTGAGAAAGATCCCTCTATTACTTCCCGAGAAATACAGATAACAAACTTTCAATATCAAAATCCAAGATGGCTGCCTGTCGGCCATGTTGTTTATCCGATCAGTCTCAAAAGTTGCCCTGCACAGCTCAGGACCAAGGGGAACCTACATATAAAATTTAAGAAAGAACCCTCTAGTACTTCGAGAAATAGCCATAACAAACTTTCACTATCAAAATCCAAGATGGCTGCCTGTCGGCCATGTTGTTTATCCGATCAGTCTCAAAAGTTGCCCTGCGCAGCTAAGAACCAAGGGGAACCTACATATAAAATTTGAGAAAGATCCCTCTGGTACTTCTTGAGAAATAGCGATAACAAGAATTGTTTACGGACGGACCACAGACGCAGGGCGATTTGAATAGCCCATCAGATGATGGTGGGCTAAAAAGGTCACACAAAATGCCTAGATACACAACAACAGGGTAGTTATCATATCTCAAAACTTTCATGATATTGGCGCAGTAGTTTTGCAGGTGTTGTCCGGACAAGATTTTTTAAACAAAGGGCAATAACTGCGTAATAAAGGATCAGAATGAAAGAAATAATATCTGGATGGACAACATCAGACGGTAGTTGTCATATCTGAAAACTTTCGTTGAAATTGGTCAATGAGTTTTGGAGGAGTTGTCCGAACAAGGATTTTTCAACAAAGCGCAATAACTTTGGAAAAACAGGTCAGAATGAAAAACAAAAAATTTAGCTGGATGCACAACTTCAGGTGGTAGTTATCATATCTGGACGCTTTCGTTGAAATCAGTCTTTTACTTTAGAAGGAGTTGTCCGAACAAAAAAGAAAAGTTTTACGAACAGAGAGATGGACAGACAGACAGAAAAGCTGTTTGTAGTATACTCCTTAACTTCGTTGCGGGGTACAATAATGTTTACTTCTTAGCAAGCCAACTTACCATTTATGTATGGCGCAATATTGATCAAGTATTTAATACAAGAGGCCTTATGGACTTGTATCACTCACCTGATGTTAATCTCCCACTTTTAACATTGAAAATCGACCAAGGTAAATTATACTAAACGGATTAAATAAAGCTACATGCTAAACATCCTTACCTATGACTCTTAGTTATTTAAAAGAACCCATTGCAAGATTTTAACATATTTGACCCATGTGACCTTGAAAATCTTACAAGATTGTCAACTGAATAATCTTGTAAGACCTGTCAAAATATCATTACCCTGTGACTTTTGGTTATTTGATGAAAAGTCCTTTATGCAGAATTTACACATTTTACCCCTGTGACCTAGAAAGGTTATTCTTCTTACTTGAAACCGTAGGTTTGGCAACTTTGAAGAAATAATTTAAACTTTTTTTTGTGCACATTTTACCTGTGACCTAGTTTATATCAGGAAAGGTTATTCGTTTGAACAAAATTGAAAGTCCTTCATTCTATTATGGTACACTACAGGCAAAATCTCATCACCATGTAGCTTTTGGTTATTCAGAAGAAGTAAATTAAAGAATTTTATGCATATCACCCCTGTGACATTGAAATTGGATCAAAGTCATTCATGATCATGATCAAACATGGCAGCACTTCCTTTCTGGTCTTTAAAAAGTTGTTTGCATTTTTCAACATATCCGACCCCTGTGACTTTGACAGTTGGTCGATATCATTTTTTCCCCAAAAACTTGAGTCAGTTTCCAACCAAGGAAGCAGTAACAGCGTTATATTCGGACTCTTGGTCTTTCGGTTTTTCTAACAAAGTGGTTTTAATTTCTTTAAATA